CTCCCCGACTCTTCCCTTATCAATGATACAAAACTCCTTTCAGGAAAGAAAACCTGACTTCTGAGAAGAAAGGATCAATGCTCCAATACATCCCAAGCTCCCTAGCAAGGATGAATCACATCAGTGCTGTACTGTAGAAAATTGGGACATCAGCTCCGGAGCATGCACAGAGGACCTGAAAAAGAGTCCAGGCCTCCAGTCTGGGAGGGGTTCAGGGAGTTGCTCTAAGGACCCCATTTCTCTGGCTCGGATGCCTGTCAGCCCAGGCTCTAGCCTTGACCAGCCCTCGAGGGTGCCCCTAAATTTTGCCCTGCTGAAACCGCAACTCACCCCACGCCCCACTCGGAGGAGCATGCCAATTTTCTGCAAGGTTCTCAGGGCCTAGGAGGCAGAGAGGACCATGTATTGTCACAACTGGAGGGTGTTTCTGCAGGCAGCATGCCGGGTGAGTACCAAGCTCGCACTTGGTATCTTCCAGCAAAGGGCGGTGTAAGGGGGCGTGCCTTTGAGACTTCTCTCAGAGGCTCAGGCTTCCAGCCCCACTTGGAAAGCACTAAATGCTAGCAGGAGGGGGGCCAGGGCTACCTTAGCGCCCCACCTCTCTCAGCTCTATGGAGCTGGGAAATGGGAAAGCACCAACCACAGGAGGTGTCTGTGGTATGCCCTCAGATGGGGTGTGGCCTCAATACTAGAGGCAATCCTCCTGACTTAACCTCTTGGGGACTGGAATTCTAGACATGATCCACCATGGCTGGTTAAACATCTCCCCTTAACAGAGGATATCAAATTTTCTTTATAGAGATGATGTAACATTTTAAAGTCATTTAAGTTGAGTTTCACGATCAAATCTATGATGATCTTTCCCAGTTACTGTCCGCACGTGATTTACATTTGTCTCCTGGACGCATGTGTTAGCCTCTCTGTCATTCAATGTCTTTCCAGATCAGGCATTTTCAGTGCCTCCTAAACACCCCGAGTTCCTCATATTGTGGTGATCCCCGACCATAAAATTGTTTTCATTGCTACTTCATAACTGTAATTTTGGTACTGTTTTGAATTGTAATGTAAAAATTTTGGAACTAGAGGTTCATAAAGGGGTCAAGGCCCAAAGGTTCAGAACTGCTTCTTGAACTCCAGCAAAGTACTGTGGCCTTGAGCTTCACCCACTACCTTATTCCAGCATAGACTACGGTTAGTGTGAGTTCTTTCTGTTGTCTTTCCTCCCAGAATCTGCATGCAGTGGGTAACATTAATATGTTGAAATTGGTCTTGTTATTGCCACTGAAATATAAATGTAAGTTAAATTGACCTTTGCCAAACAAGAACAATATCAAATAAGGTACTTTAGGAAATACCTTGTGCTATTCACAGTGTTAGAAGTAAGAATAGCTATGTCAAAGTAATGAGCAAGTCTATCACCTAAAATTGGTATCTAAACCCTTTGCTAAATTCAAAGGATATTTTCTGACCTGTTTCCATGGTGTTGTTGAACCACTACTCTTTAGACACAATCTCACCATGTAGCCCATGCTGACCTCAAATTTGCACAAAAACTCATATTAAAAATTAAAGGGTTTTATCTAAATTTCATATTCCTCCCAGGGACTAGAAGTGTAGCATGCATGAGGCTCTGGGTTCAATCCTCAGCACCCACATAAACTTGGTACCTTCTACATGCCTGTAATCTCCTACATCAGTCTCCCAAACCCTGATAACCAGGTGTGAGGCAACAGACCCAGGGAACTGTAACTACTGCTGTTCTGGCGTATGTAACTTGTTCCATACACGATTCACCTGGCTGTTAAGTTGTAGCGAGGTCACACATGGACATTTCTTCCTCTGTAATTATTCATCCAGCAAGTCCCTAATGACCATCAACCGGGAAAACCCATTCAGTCTCATTTTCTTCTGCTCATGGTGTCTCCCAGCTTGCATGCTTTATTCAATTAATCAGTTCATTCATTCGGGTCCATTATGAGCACTGAAATCACAGGTTCTGCAGATTAAGAAATGGACATCAGCACCTAGTGAAAATTGTAGCTTTGTTAACCTTTGGATCTCCAGCTTTTAAAGGACCAGCCTTACAAAACCTCCTCATTGACTCTTTCAAGGTCTGCTTCATTCACAGCTAAGCCTCTTACTGCACTGGCATGTAAATGACATGGGGACAGTATCCTTACCAACATCCTTTTATCTTTGTTTCATTTTTAATTAGCTTACAAAGACTGGATGGTCAAAAGGCTTCCTCCAACATCTTTAGTTTTTGTTAACTAACCCTTGCACAGTTTACCCTCCCCGCCCCACTCTCCCCTACCAGCCTGCTGCCAGCCGCACTTATGCCTTTAACCTGGAGTGTTCTCCCCCATTCTTTCATGCAACCTGTGTTTACCATCCCTTCTGATTATATTTTTTACTTTGGCCGCAAGATGTAGGTTTTCTTATAGCTTTTTCATATGCCCTTCATTCTAGTTAAGTCTTTTCCAGTGCGTCACTTTCCCATCCATGTTTGAACCTTCCCACTCCAAGCAACCCCCTCTCTACCTTGACTTTTTAACTATATTTTACTAAATCCACCTGCCCTCATGAATCCATCCCCAATGGCCTGTCTCTAATTACCTGGCTTCCACATGTACTCCAAAAACACACAAAAGAAAATTTTCAAAGCAAGGATACCTGTGTGAGAGACAGTACATTTGTCTTAATGAGGCAGGGTCTCGTGTACTCCTGGTTGGCCTTTTACTCACTGTGTAGCAAGGATGTCCTTCAATTACAGGCAGGCAGCACCATGCCCTATTTGTGTGAGTGTTGAGGATGGAGCCCAGGACCAATTGACCTACATCCCTAGACTAGGGAAGAAACATACAATAGGAAGAAAAAAATTATGTGAACACTAAGTTTATCTTGTGTATTTTTTGAGGCTGATCTTTACTATGATGCCCAGGATGATCTTAAAACCCCAAGTTCAAGTGTTACACCTGCCTGGGCCTCCTGAGTAAATGACACTGTGGGTATGCACCTCTACATGAAATATGTTTCTTGAGCAGATTCTTGGCATGGCTCCTCTGCACATGCATCTTTGTGAGCATTCATGGAAAATGCTTCTGTGTATAGAAAAGAGCAGATGAATGGGCCCCTGCTGGAAAGGTGGCAACAACTTCCCACTGACCTATGAACCCAATCTAGACCCTTCATTTAACCTGAAACTGCCTCCAGGAGCTGACAATGTTTGACCCTTGGTGCTGTGCTGTTCCATGCACACCTCGGCTTCATTTTTGTTTTGTGGTTTTTTTTTATATTTAGCATAGAACTGAGCTTCTCTGACATTTTTTATATGTTATGTTTTCATTTATGCTCTCACTACCTTTCCCACTCCTTCAATTAGACCTTCCCTCTCTCCACCCCAAACAGATTGACTTTCTGCGTTCATCTCATATACACCATTATCCTCTTTGCCTCCCTCCTCCCGTTAGGTCTCCTCCTCCTGTCTCATAGTCACCTTTCTAGATGTGCACGTGTGTGTGTGTGTGTGTGTGTGTGTGTGTGTGTGTGTGTGTGTGTGTGAGTGTGGGCGGGGGGCAACCCCTAGATGGCACACTTTGTCACATCCTTCCACTGTCTGCCTCACTGTGGTCACTTAATCCTTTACATGACAGACAATATATAATTTACTGTCTCTTGAAACTATGAGAGAAAAGGGAGTTCCTAAAGATTTTAGTTCCCAGTTTCAACTAGTCATGACAGGCTAAGGCTAGAGGTTATCTTCCTGATACCTGAGTCAATTCGCAATATAATGGTAAACAGATCTAATAATACACCTACTTTATAACTAAGCAGTCTGATGCTAAGATGGAAAAAAATCAGTCTTGATCTTAACTCCCAGCACAATCTCTTCATACCACATTTAATCCACGATACAATTTCAGAAATGAACAAACAGATGCCAAGTTCTCCTTTCACAACCTACTTCCTGTTACGCCCACATCATGAGCCTCAGAGACCACCAGGAGTCCAAGTTCATATGCAAAAGCAAAGAACCTTTCATGCAAGATCCAGCTTGGGCTCTTCATCCATTCCGACACAGTGGTTGGATCAGGGAGAGCATCGACCTCAGTTGAGGCAGAGTTTTTAAGGAGTAAAGGATGGGGGTTAGGGGAATGCTGGATTCAGATGGGGGTTGAACTCCTGATTGGGCAGGAGTGAGGTAACAGAAGTTTTGTCAAACAGTGGTTGGTACTGGCTGCAAGGAAATTGGCAATCTATATACAAAGTAAGTAAGCTATCTTTAATGTTCTAGAGCACTTAGTACTTGTTTATCTCAATTCTGATTGGTCTCCTGCAGGGTACATTTGTAGCTTTTCCTGGTTATTGTAATGGTGAGACCTAGTTCTAATATTGTTAGTTTGCAGCCTGTCATGGCTGCCCTAATGTTAAGTTAGGCCTCTTCGCTTCTCTATAAAGAAAGTAACATTCAGAGGTTCCCTTGCCTAGCAGCACTAATAGACTTTCAAAGCAGCAGCCAAGGTCTGGAGGAGTTGCATGTGTTTACAAGGGAAGCTGTCAGGAGGTGTTTAGGAAGGCATTTAGGAATCAGAATACAGATGCTTTAGCATCAAAGGAGCATTGGAAGGAAATTAGCAGCTCTAGTGTTTGTCTGGCTTTTCAGCTTGCTACCCCAAGATTGAACTACCAGCTCCTCCCCAGCCTCCTCTCTACTTGGCAAAATAGAACACTTTTTAGATTGAAGGTATTGATTTGTTATAACATGGTGTCTTTCTTTCCCTTATTTAGTTTCTACTCCTAATAATAATCTTTTTTTTTTTATTTTTATTTTGCAATACAATTCATTTCTACATATCAGCCACGGATTCCCTTGTTCTCCCCCCTCCCGTCCCCCTCACCTTCCCCCCAACCCCCCCCCCCCATTCCCATCTCTTCCAGGGCAAAGCCTTCCCCACAGACTGAGATCAACCTGGTAGACTCAGTCCAGGTAGGTTCAGTCCCCTCCTCCCAGGCCGAGCCAAGCAATCCTGCATAGGCCCCAGGTTTCAAACAGCCAACTCATGCAATGAACACAGGACCCGGTCCCACTGCCTGGATGCCTCCCAAACAGATCAAGCCAATCAACTGTCTCACCCATTCAGAGGGCCTGATCCAGTGGGGACCCCTCAGCCATTGGTTCATAGTTCATGTGTTTCCATTCATTTGGCTATTTGTCCCTGTGCTTTATCCAACCTTGGTCTCAACCATTCTCGCTCATATAAACCCTCCTCATTTTCGCTAATTGGACTCCCAGAGATCCACCCAGGGCCTCGTCATGGATCTCTGCATCATCCAGATCCCTCAGTAGTTGGATGAGGTTTCTAGCACGACAATTATGGTGTTTGGCCATCCCATCACCAGAGTAGGTCAGTTCGGGATGTATCTCGTCCATTGCCAGCAGTCTGTTGTGTGGGTATCTTTGTGGATTTCTGTGGGCCTCTCTAGCACTTTGCTTCTTCCTATTCTCGTGTGGTCTTCATTTACCATGGTCTCCTATTCCTTGTTCTCCCTCTCTGTTGTTGATCCAGCTGGGATCTCCCGCTCCCCCAAGCTCTCTTTCCCTCGACCCTCGCCTTTCATTACCCCCACTCATGTCCAGGCTGTTCATGTAGATCTCATTCCATTTCTCTGTCATTGGGCGATCCCCGTGTCTTTCTTGGGGTCCTGTTTTCCAGGTAGCCTCCCTGGTGATGTGAGTAGCAGACAAGTCATCCTTGTTCCACATCTACTATCCTGCTATGAGTGAGTACATACCATGTTTGTCTTTCTGAGTCTGGGTTACCTCACTCAGGATGATTTTTTCTAGATCCATCCATTTGTCTGCAAACCTCATGATGTCATTGTTTTTCTCTGCTGAGTAGTATTCCATTGTGTATATGTACCACATTTTGTTTATCCATTCTTCAGTTGAAGGGCATCTAGGTTGTTTCCATGTTCTGGCTATTACAAACAATGCTGACATGAACATAGCTGAACAAGTGCTCTTATGGTGTGATTGAGCATTCCTTGGGTTGTCAGAATGGCTAAGATCAAAAACACTGAAGACACCTTATGCTGGAGAGGATGTGGAGCTAGGGGAACTCTCCTCCACTGCTGGTGGGAATGCAAGCTTGTACAACCACTTTGGAAATCAATATGTTGCTTTCTTAGAAAATTGGGAATCCATCTCCCCCAAGATCCAGCTATACCTAATAGTAATCTTAACTATGCAATCCAGCTCAACTTCAGGGGAATGAGAAAATTACAAACCCAAAGCAAAGCAGCGGGACTCAAGGACAATAAGATATTAATGCAGAAGGATGGGTGCCACAGTTGGATGGGTGTCCTAGGAGCTGCAGATGGGAGGGTCTGGTGTTTAAGGTGTATGTCAGTCGGAACTGTCACAGCTGTCCCATAGTTGGCAGTGGTGAGCTTCTTGCTGAACTTGCTCTTCTTGGACCCAAGGTGCTCATGGCTTCAACAATGCTCGTGTCTTCTTTAGCATTCCCAAGGACCATGTGTTTGCCACAAAAACACTGAGTCTCTGCAGTGCAGATGAAAACTGGAAATTGTTTGTCTTGGTTCATCATTTGCCATGGACAAAATACCAGGACCTGAACGTTCAGGATGACATTCGCATCCTTAAATTTCACCCCATGGATTTACTTCAAATGAGTGACTATGGCACATAATGTCACCACCCAGACATGAATCCTGGAATAATTCAGTTTAAGGAGAAACACTCGTAACCAAATACTTCCTTTCAAATGCTCAGAGCAGCAAAGTTTTCTTCTACCTTGTGAACTTTGCAAATAGCTAGAGGAAGACTCAGCTGAAGGGTGGCTGTCTATACTGAGGTTGAAGACCACTGTGGACTTGAGCATAGATCTGGTGGCCACAGGGCACATGGGCAATCTGCAAATGATCTTTTTTAAAAAGTTAACAGAGAGGCACTGTTCACCAAAGGATGGAAACTGATGCAAACTCACAGCCAAATACTAGAAGGAGTTCAGTGAATCCTAGAGAACAGGAGGAGAAAGGATTGTAGGAGCCAGAGGGGTCAAGGACACCACAAGAAGACTAACAGAATCAACTAACCTGTATCCAATTAGTTCTTGGTTTCCCAGGCTATCCCACGTGCATTCAGTCCTCAAGTCCCCGCCCATCAAGTTTCTTGCTCACAAGATACAGGTTTTAAAAGGAGCTGCACCATTAGAGCACTCACATGATGCAGAGTGCTGGGTGGCTTCCATTTTAAATCCCCGTGGCCAATCAACAATGTGCAGGCCTTTGAAAGATTCCCAGCGCCTTGTTTGAATTCAAGGGGGAGCAGAGCAAGTTTAGGAGCATGAAGGCAACAGCCAAAGCTGGAAAGCTGGCTCCAGCACCAGCTGACCTCTGGAAAGCCAGAGTCCAGGAAGATGCAGGTCCCAGTGCCCCAGTGGCCGCCCCACTGTTGAAAAAGATTCCAGAGGTCTTAGTGGACAAAGGCAGCAGGCGCCTTTATGTAAGGGGACGCTTTCTGAGTAAAGTAGGCTTTGTGAAATGCTTTGAGATCTCAGACCAAAACACAAAGGAGGTGTTCGCAGCCAAGATCGTGCCTAAGTCTTTGCTCACACCCTCCCAGAAGGAGAAGCTGTCCAAAGAGATTTCCATTCACCGCAGCCTCTCACATCAACATGTCGTAGGCTTCCACAGCATTTTCGAAGACAGCGAATTTGTGTTTGTGATTTTGGAGCTTTGTCGGGAGAGGGTGAGTGTTTCTGCTGTGGGACTGGGGTGCCCATACCGTGAATTTGCTGGCAAAGAGCTACTGATGCCTTGGAGTACCTTAGAGGAGTGCTTGGGTTTCAAGCAATTATGAAAAGGCTTCTAGTGAGGGTGCTGAGTGGGGTTGAGAAAAGACTCTCGGTAAGAGCACGCATTAACAGGAGAGGGTCCTGTGAGTGATAATGACCAGTGTATGGGCAGAATCATCAGGAGTCTGCCAAGACCTCCCTTTAATCCCGAGAGCTTAGTCCTGGTCCCATCCAGCTGGCCACCCTTTTCGGTGGGCTTCAGTAACTTCTTCCTTCTTTCTCAGTCCCTCCTGGAGCTGCACAAGAGGAGGAAAGCCCTGACCCATCTGGAAGTGCGCTGCTACCTAAGGCAGATAATCCTGGGCTGCCAGTACCTGCACCACAATCAGGTCATTCACAGGAACCTTAGGTTGAGCAACATCTTCCTGAACGAGGATCTGGAGGTGAAAATAGGTGAGGTGCTGGACCTTCAGGTGCCTGGTGCCAGTACAAGAGGAGGCAAGGAGAGGAAATCTGGGAGAATGGGAGCCAGAGAAATGGAGGGACGGTGGGACATGGAGGTGCTGCCCTCCAGAATGCCCTCTAGTTTAGAAATGGAGGGTGAGGGGCCCACACGCCAGTGTCTTGCCTTTAGATGCATTTGCTCTTTTTGTTTTTGTGTTTGCTGTTGCTGTCTAGTATACCTCAATACAGTAGTTCTAAAAATAGTTTACTTGGGGGTGCCTCCCCCAATTACTACCCTATCTCATAGCACTGAGCCAGGTGCTCCTCAGTCAGTTTCCTTTTTAAACTGGAGGTCTAGACGTATGCCATGTAGCAAGGCTGGCAGCATTCCCTCAGCTCTTTACTGAGCTGAAAAGTCCTGTTCCCTTGAGACTCTGATTTGCCTCAGTCCCTATTCCCATGTCACCTTTCTTACCTTGTCCATCAGCAGTCACGAAGAGTATTTACTTGGTTCCCTAGTGCCTCCAATTCTGTTTCTCATGTGGTTTAAATTTCATTTATTTATGTGAGGGGTGGGGATAGAAGGTAACTTTCAGGAGTCAGTTGTTTCCTTGCACTGTGTGGGTCCCAGGGTCAACTCAAGCCATCTGTCTTAGAGGCATGCACCTTTACCTACAGAGCCATCTTGCCACCCTAGCCCTGCTATCTAAAAGAGCAGTGTAAAGGGCAGTGGGAAGCCAGCCATCACCAGCAAAGTAGGAAGGTTCCTGGAACAGAGACTTTGGAGTCTGATTCTCAATGGTCAGACCTCAGGCAGCTGTCTGCAACCACAGATGACCCAGACCTAGCAGCTGAGCATCCTCTCTTCTTTCCTCTGTCCCAGGGGGTTTCGGGCTGGCAACCAAAGTGGAATATGAAGAGGAACAAATGAAGACCTTTTGTAGCCCCCAAAACTTCACAGCTCTCGAAGCGGTGAGACTGGGAAGTTTTGAGGAGGATGTATGGTCCATCGGGTGCATCATGTAAGTTGGGAACGGACTCAGGAGCTATGGGCCTCAATGGGGCTTTCTGAGGCACTTCACCCAGTTGACCTTACCCTCTGGATCCTTCTTCCTTATAGAAAGGCTATTTCAGGGAGCAGGTTGCCCACATGAAGCCCTATTTCCTTATTAATCTGGTGTAGGATGTAGGATTTCCTGTAGCTTGGACTTATGGTCCAGAGAAGGGACGAGAAAGTCTCTACAATTCTTCCTCCTGCTCTTTGCTGTTTACTAAAAGCATGCACAGACCCAAGCCATCAACACCTGAGGGCTTGTTAGGACTATGGAATCTCAGTTCTGAACCTGGGTTTAATTGTGTCCTTGGCTGACTTTCAAGAAATCTTTGGAAGCACTGATGAGCACTGATGGGAGAATCACATCACCAGAAAGGCTGATGGTAGGCAGAAGTCCCATCATGGTGGCCTGTGGTGGATAGCAGTGGCCTCTGGGGTCCTTGGAGTCCTCTATTACTGCAGCCCAGAGCTGGGGAATTCCTGGCCCCTTAGTATCCAGGTGTTATCAGCTACATTCTTCTGAGGGCTTGTCCTAGCCAAGGTTACCGTGGCACTAGGCAGACTTGGAGACCATCCCCATCTCTTCCTAGTCAGTGAATCCAACACAGCCCCCTTCCCCTAGACAATGACTTATGCATTTGGACTTTCCTGGGAGTTTGAGCAAAATTCTTCCTTGTACCTCCAGGTACACCTTGCTAGTGGGCAAGCCACCTTTTGAGACCTCATTCGAAAAAGAAACCTACCTCCGGATGAAACCAAATGAATACAGTGTTCCCAAGGTGACAGCAACACAATTTTATTTTGTTTCACCCAAAAGCTATTCACTGAGCCCAGCTATATCCTGAGGACAGAGCCTTGCCTCTAGTATAGCCACAGAGAATGTATGTGTGAAGGCTGGCCTTGAACTCGCTGCATGTTGAGTTTGAATGTCAAAGTCTCCTGCCTCTACCTCCCAAGTGTTGAGATTATAGGCATGCAGCACCATGCTGGCTTTATGGGGTATACTGGGAACTGAACTGGGTTTTGTGCTTATAGGCAAGCACTCTGCCAACTGAGTCCCATGCCCAGCTTCCTGAATGGATGTAAAGTGCAGGGAGAAAATGGAGAAGAGGCAGATGTGCTTAAGCTTGGGACATGGACCATCTCCACCTAGCTGAGCTGTGTTTAGCAGATGATGGCTTGACTCTTGTGAACCAGGTTTCCCATCTACAAAGTATAAGTTTCCCCAAGGGCTTCCAGTGACAAAATGACATCTTTTTTTTCCACAACCAATGGCATACATCCGTTTGAAGGGATAACCCATTTCTGGGGACTAGGTCTACCTGGGACATATGACCACTTTCAAATTGGTGTCCTTGACTTGTATATAGAGCAGCTATGTCACAGAGAATCAGCTCACTGCAGACAGCATGGACTGGCTTGAGCCAGCTGGACTGCTGTGGTATAAGTTCTGGCTTTATCACCTAGGCTGTGTGTATTCTCAGACAGGGGCACTTTCTCAATTCTGAGCCTGCTTCTTCATCTAAAGTGAGGCATAGTAGTGGAGTGAGTAGTCTTTACTTTTGTGAGGCTGAGGCAGGGGAACCTTAAGTTCCAGGCTAGCCTGAGCTACATAGGGAGATCCTGTCTCAAACTATATAGGGGGAGGGAGTCTTTTAGGAGTTTTTGTGAGGCCCAAATGAATTAATATACAAGACTGCATTCCTGATATATGAAGCCTAGAGTTAATGCTCTGACTGACAGGCCTGTTCTAGGTTTTATCCCATATACCAAGTGTCCCATGTGGTGGGGTCCCAGGTATGGTACCGTTCCCCCATTCTACAGATACGCCTTGGTGGGCCCAGAAAGCCCAGGCTATTTGTCAGAGCTGGAATCATGGGGGTGGAACTGGGATTTAAACACAGGTCTGGGGACCTGGAGGCCCCTCTGGTGGTAAATAATTAAATGTGCTTTGCAAGGGCAAGCTGGGGAAATCGTCCCAAGTTAATGTTGAGTGCCTAGTGGCAGGAAATGATCCTTCTCACAAGCAGGGTGACACTGGTCCTTGCTAAAGCTGGGGTGGAGGACCTGCTGGTGGAGCTTACGGCCACTGAACTATGGTATATTTGCGATAGGAGCAGCCACATGTCAGGTGGGGTCCCTGTCTCATCTCACTTAGGCTCTGCTTCTCCCCTCCAGCACATCAATCCCATTGCTGCCTCCCTCATCCAGAAGATGCTTCAGGCAAAACCCGCTGCCCGCCCCACCATTGAGGAGTTGCTCAAAGATGAGTTCTTCACTTCTGGCTATATCCCTGCCCATCTGCCCATCACCTGCCTCACCATCCCACCAAGGTTGTCAGTAGGTCCCAGTGGCCTGGACCCCAGCAGCAGGAAGTCTCTCATGGTCCTCGAGAAAGGTGAAGCTTGGTCTTGGTAGGGTAGACTGCAGAGAGCCTATATTTCCAGGGTGCATTTCAGGGTGCATGTACCTTACTCTGCCCCCAGAGGTGGGTCCTATCCTTGAGGTCTGGTCCCTGGGTTCTTCTGACTCTTGGGCTTGGCAGGAAGAACAGACTGAATCAACACATTTGATCTGATAAGGAAAAAAATGGACTGAACACCAAGCCCAGGAAATTCTTTTTGATTATGTTTATAAGTCTCTATCGTCTCCTTTGCATGTTTTTGTTGAATGCTGGAACTTGTCAGGTATAGACATGGAGTATAACACGGCACCCATCCTCATTCTCATTCTCAGCCATGGTTCACTCTGCACCTTTCACCCCTTTGAGTGCTTGTGCTTTGTCTGTCAGGAGAAGGTCTCTCACTGTCACCAGGCTGCTCTGGAGTCAGTCCTCCTGCCTAGGGCTCTGGATTACAAGTTTGTCAGCACATCTCACTTTTGAAATGTCACTACAGCCAACTCCAGCAGTCTGCCATTTTACACTTAAAGTACATCTGTGAGTTCGAGGCCCGCCTGGTCTACAGAGCAAGTATCAGGACAGCCAGAGCTGTTATAGAAACTGTCTGAAAAAGAAAACAAAGGATTAAGTAGGTAGAAGAATGAACAGGAAGCATCTGACCCTCTTTTCCCAGTCTGTTTACATTTCTTTTGATGTTTTCATCATCAATCCTCTATGTGTTTCTCTTAACTGATTAAGAGCAAACTTTGTTTTTTTTAAATTTATTTATTTATTATGAGGACACCAGATTTCATTACAGGTGGCTATGAGCCACCATGTGGTTGCTGGGAATTGAACTCAGAACCTCTGGAAGAGCAGTCAGTGCTCTTAACCTCTGAGCCATCTCTCTTGCCCCAAGAGCAAACTTTCTTCTGTTAATGCTTCTGTGTATACTTCTTGAAAACAGACATGACAGACATCAGCACAACCTTCAGGACTGTGAGCATTAATCCAACCCCATATTGTCTTCACAATTTCTTTTTCTTTTTTGTTTTCTTTCTTTATTCCTTCCTTCCTTTCTTTTTTTTGAGACAAGATCTCACTATGTAGCTCAAGCTGGCCTCCAGCTCACAGAGATCAACCTGTTTCTGCCTTCCAAGTGCTAGGATCAAAGTCGTGAGCCACCTCACCTGGTAGCATTCTTTTTTTTTGACTCCCTCCCTCCCTCCCTCCCTCCTTCCTTTTATTTATTTGTTTGTTTATTTATTTATTTATTTATTTATTGAAACAGACTATGAAGCCAAGACTGGCCTCAGGTTTGTAATCTCTGGCCTCACTACCCCCTCTCCCCCCAGATGCTGGGCTTATAGGAGTGTGCCACTGTATTTAGAATTACTATTTTTTTCTTGCAGTTTTATTTGACCTTCACATATTTCATTAAGGGTTGTAGTCTTTGAGAAGTAACTTGAAGGACTTTGTTTCTCTGTGTGGCTATACCACCAATTTATATAAAGTTCTCAGTTTGTCTGCTCAATTAGATTTACATTTTTAGGCAAATGACTTGCGATGATTTAGTTTCAGTTTTGGTGCTTTGAGACAGAGTCTCATGTTGTTCAGGCTAGCCTTGAACTGCCAAATGCTGGGGTTACCAATGTGTGCCTCACCCTGACTCAGTGACTTGGATTTTTTGGAATAATTTTAGGGCTATACAAAGTGTTATAAACAAAATAGAGCTGACTTCCTATGTGCCCTTCCCCCAGCTTCCTACACTATCAGCATCTCTCTACCACAGAGTAATTACTAAAACTAAAACGTTAACCACAAGATGATCCTGTCAACAAACTCCAGTCCTCATGTCAATCACACAGATTCCCCATTAACATCACCTTGTTCTGTACCAGGGTGCAAGTCAGTACCGCACATGGCATTTAGAGGCCTCAGCTTCTTAGTTTCCTCTAGCCTGTGACAGTCTCTGGGTTTTTCCTTGTGTCTTGTGACCTTGACACTTTCAGAGGGTGCTGATGAGTGTCTTTCCTGTTGGGTTTGTTGCTTCCTCGTGAATTAGTGGAGATTCTCCATTCTGAGCAGGAATGCTGCAGAGGGGATGTGCTCTTTTCAGTGTGTCGGGGAGACAAGGCTGTCTCTGCTACAGATACTGTTTTTTCGGTCATTGATAAGTATCTTGCAGGAAGTTGTTTGAAAAACTGCTGCCTATCAATTTTGGCACCCACATGTGGGTCTTGGTGTAGTAATTATTGCTGTAATTATTTTCCCCTTTAAATTTTTGAGGCAGTGTCTCATGTGGCCCAGTCTGCTTAGAATTCCCAGTAGCCAAGGATGACCTTGAGCTTCTGTTCCTTCTGCCTCTGTCTCCTGAGTGCTAGGATTACAGGCGTGGACCACCATGGCCAGTTTATAAGGAGCTGAGAATGTTAATTCAGGGCTTCACACTAGACAAGCACTCTGTTAATTGAGCTATTGCTGAGCCCCCTTTTCTGTTCCCCTTTCCTGTAGTGCTGGACTTGTGGATCCTATCTTATGGGGAGGTATTAAAATACTGCTCCTTTAGGATTCTTTTCTTAGTAAAGTAGCAATAAATGAAAATGTTTTATAGACATTTTCTAGATTATCCAAAGGTAGAGAATTGTATCATGTGATATGTGATCCTGGAGTAGTCGTCCTCCATTTTCAATAGTTTTATTTGGACAAGTTTGATTTTACATATTCTGTAAACAGTCTCATTTTGTTTTTCCTGTGAATGGGTGTTTTACATGCATATGTGAATGCCTGGTGACCACAGAGGCCAGAAGATGGTCTTGGATCTCCTGGAACTGGAGTTACAGGTGGTTGTGAGCCTCCATGAGAATGCTGGGCACCAAAGCCAGGTTTTTGACAAGAATAGCCAGTGCTCTTAGTGGCTGAGCCATCTCTCCAGCCCCTTTATGGCTAGTTTTAAAATCAGAGCTTGGATATTTTATTTCACACTTAAGTTCTTAATACAGAATGGTGGGATTGTTGTTTTTAATTGAAAATTTAGGGAATGTCCTGTTTCACTGGAGAACTGATACATGCTGGTTTGGGGAAGTGAATTGTTCAAGAATAAAGACAGCAACAGTCACCAGCACAGCCCCGATCACCATAGGCCAACTTAAGGCTTCAGTGTGGATTTCATTAGACTCACTTATCTGTAAGCACACAAAGCAAAAGGCTTACACTGCGCTTCACCCATCCTTCTGCCTTCCTGGATGCACAAAGTGCCCTTTGTTCTTTGCTTGAATTGGTGCCTCCAGGCTCCCTCCCTGAGTGACAGCAACAGCAGGTGTCCTGGAAGGGCAGGCTGTTGGAGCAGAGGCCTGAGCTCCTGAAGCTTTGTGGCCTCTCAGTAAGCACCATATCCCTGACACACCAACGCGGTCCTGACTCAGTTCCCACAGCAGTGAGAGCTGATGGGACTGTGGGAAGAGTGCTGGCTGTGCCAGGCAGGCCTGTGCTCCCTCCAGCGGTTTTGTGCCTGGCTAATGGCCATGTCACCTTCTTAGGTGTAGAGAGACCCTTGCCTGACCTTCCCTGGGAAAAGGAGGAGCCAGTGGTTTGGGGGACAGGTGAGGCCATCGAGTGGCACCTCAGTGACATGCTGCAGCAGCTGACCAGGGTCAATGCCTCCAAGCCCTCAGAGCGAAGGCTGGTGCGGCAAGGTGAGTCCTGCAGGGGGCTTCCCATCTGGAGAAGGCAGGGTATCTCAGTCAGCAAGCAGATCCCCCATTTCCTGGAGATCAACATTCAGATGAGTTAGCCTGACACCCAAGGCCCTCCTGGTGTGCCTTCTGCCTGTTTCTGCCCCATCTCACTCTGTAGGTGACTGATAGGTCACCTCTGCACAGCTGTGTCTGTTGTCTCCTTTCTGCCCAGGGAATTAATCCCTTGGTCCTCAAGAGACTCAGGTCAGCTCCAGCCTCAGGGCTTTTGTGCCCACTGCCACCACCCTGACTCCCACTGCCAGCACTTCCTAACCTGATGAAATTCTCCATAACATTTCTTCCCAACACATTCATGCATCTGCAGTTGGGACTCGTGTGCACTGAGGTGGTTCTAGCGTTGCAGGAATTGTTGGGTCTGCTCCTTTCTTCAGCACTTTAATCTGGGGCACTAGGCTTTCCACCAGCCCTGATGTTAATGACTTTGATTACTCTTCATCCCTCTGGTTGGTATGTGGGTCCTTCTATAAGCCTAGGGTTTTCTTTTCCTATCCACACCTACCACAGTTCCTGAGACACAGTAAAGGGGCCCACTTAATGAATTGGGACTTGACGTTCTGGGCTGCAATTTGGGTGTCTAGGTTTGTGCTGTCAGAGCCCTCCACAGGCTTCATAGGGTGCCCCCCCAGCTCTGGGGAGGATTATCTGAGAAGACAGAAGGAGGGGCTGGCCTAACCAGTTCTCTGTTTCTATCCCAGAGGAGGCTGAGGATCCTGCATGCATCCCCATCTTCTGGGTCAGCCAGTGGGTAGACCAGTCAATGAAGTATGGACTTGGTAGGTGTCTCCAGAATGTATAATGGGCAGGGGATGGTGTTGCCATAGTAGCCTTTGAGTGAACAAGTGAGTGATGTCTGTAATTGTGTGGCTGTGTTGGCAAGAATTGTTAGGGCCTAATACATGCAAGCACTCTACTACTGAGCTATTCCCAGCCTTTGTCCACCTCCTCCTGCCTTTCTAAGATAGGCCTCCCCCTGCCCATTAGGGTATCAGCTCTGTGATAACAGTACAGGGGCACTCTTTAATGACTCAACATGCTTCGTCCTCTACAATGATGGCGACAGCCTCCAGTACATAGACCATGATGGGATGGAGTCTTACCCCACCATGAGCTCCCACCCTGACTCCTTGATGAAGAAGGTGGGAACTGGCTACTGTAAGAGGATGTGGCAGGGTATGGGGGCTGCCTCAGGGTCAGGCTCTCATTCTGGAATCCCTGCCTCAACTCTCCAACCAGATCACTCTCCTCCAGCATTTCCGAAGTTACATGAATGAACACCTGCAGAAGGCGGGGGCCAACAACTCGGAGGCGGGGGCCAACACCACACCCCGGGAAGGTGATGAGCTGGCCCGGCTGCCCTACCTGAAAAAATGGCTCCGCACAAGCCGAGCCGTTGTCCTGCACCTCAGCAACGGCACTATACAGATTAATTTTTTCCAGGTGTGTAGGGGCCTGTACTTGAGGTGGCTGGGTGGGGTGGAAGTGCTGTTCCTTTCACCAGGTGGGGAGCCTTCCTCCCCTTTGCCTCAACCTCAGGCACCAGCTGAGCTTTTCACTCACTCCCTTCTTCCCTCCAAGGACCACACCAAACTTATTCTGTGCCCCATGATGGCAGCTGTGACCTGCATCAAGAACCAGGACTTCCACACATCCTGCTTGAGCCTTCTGGAGGAATATGGCTGCTGCGAGGAACTGGGTAGACAGCTATGCTATGCCCACACCATGCTAGACAGGCTGCTGAGCTCAAAGTCTCCCAACAGCAGACTCCAGGACAACTCCTAGGCCTCCGTCCTTTGGGCTGGTGCCCCTTCACTCTGCAAGCTCTGCCTGGGGCTGCATTGCTGGACTTCTGGGACTGCTGTTCAGTAGCCCTATCCATGGGGCTGGGTGGGGAAGGGGCTGCTATGTAAGTTATTTTTGTATATGTTTGGATCTGAGTTTATAACCTCTTCCCCTGCCCTCAGTCTACTGTGTAACTTGTATAGATGTATTTCTATTGAGTTTGAGACTGTTCTTTCATTGGCTTTATATTTATTCAATATATGTGTATATCTTTTCTTATCCTGTGTTTTTTTTTTTTTTTTTTTTTTTTTTTTAAGATTTATTTATTTTTATTAGGTATGCAGTGTTCTGCCTGCATGTATGTCTGCAGGCCAGAAGAGGGCACCAGATCTCATTACAGATGGTTGTGAGCCACCATGTGGTTGCTGGGAATTGAACTCAGGACCTCTGGAAGAGCAGCCAGTGTTCTTAACCTCTGAGCCATCTCTCCAGCCCCCCTTATCCTGTGTTTTTGTGAGTATCCCGAACCCAGTGTATTTCTCTGTTCCAACAGCCTCAGGCTGTTAAACTGCTGTCCAATATGTTGATGCTCCCTAGACAAGGTTGAGCCACAGGCTTAACTCCTTGGTCCACCTTTGGGGCACCTGGTTGTCTCAGCTCTTTGACATCTGGCAGGACCTCCCAGCATCCAAAGTTGGTGACTAGTAGGGCAGGAAAAAGCGCTCAGAAGCACAGGTTCTCAGGGCATGGTGAGTGTGTAGCAGCAGCCTCGGGAAGCGGTGTGAAATAATGGATGTAGCCAGCAGGGACTTGGCCCACAGCCTGGTGTACTTCAGTTGGGAGCTTCCTATAGTGGTGCTTCTGGGGATGGTCAGGACAAGGACACTGACTCAGTTATGACAAGCCATCCCTGATCCATGTCCCACCTAGGCTCTAGAACACAATTTATTCTTCATGACATGGAGCATGTCTTGCACTGATAATCCTCTTTTAGGACTGGAACCTTTTCAGAGATGTGGGTGGAGAAATGGGCTGTAGGGATAATTCACTGGGTCCCTTCTCTCAGGAAGAGGCCCCTCCAAGCCTGCTCATCTATTCCCAGGGGACAATCCACTCCCTCTTCCCCAAGGCACTCTCCATCAGGGGCTGATCTGCAGCTGAGAGGACATTAGACAATGTCTGGAGGCATTTTGGCTGACTTGCCTTGGGAAGAAAGTACCTTTATCAACCTGTGAGGCCAGGGATGCTGCTAAGCATGCCACAGTATAACATGGCATAGGCTACAGGGCACTACCCACCCTTTCCTGACAGTTTTCTCTTCTGAATCAGTACCGCCCAGGTTGAGAAACCATGACTTAGAAAAGGATTTTGTTGACATGGGGTCTTACTCCCTAGTTAAGGTCAGCCTTGAATTCTCTACTTCCCACTTCCTGAGGGCCAGGGTTACAAGCATCATGTCGGGTTTAGAAAATGATTTTTTAACCTTCACTATGCTTCACATGATTGTGACTGGATAGGTAGCTTGTAATTGTGGCACTCAGGAAGGTGAGGCGGGAGGATCCTGAGTTCAAGCTACATAGAAAAAAAGGTGCTGGTTCTCATCTGTTCTGACCTAATGAGCTAGGTAGGACACAGTGTCAGTGTTTACCTAAGGTTAAGAATGTGGGGAAGTGAACTAATGTCATGGCAGTACAAAGGACAAAGCAGCACCTTCTGATCCTCCTGCCTCCGCTTCTCATGTTCTGAAGTACAGACATGCACCACCACGGGAGGTTCTGTGCAGTGCTGGGAATAGAACCCAGGGCATCATTTACACTAGGCAAGAACCCTACCAACAGGATTACTTTCCCAGTCAGGCTGTGGCACACCCCTTTAATACCAGTACTTAGGAAGCAGAGGCAGGGGTATCTCTGTGGGTTTGAGGCCAGCCTGGTCTGTAGAGTGAGTTCCATGACAGCCAAGACTACAGAGAAGCCCTTTCTCAAAAAAACAAAAGTCTCAGAAAATGATTATGAAATACAAAGAAAACTCAGAACTAAGCTTCTACAATGAAGTCACTCAACTCCAGAAAGTTTATGTATAATTACACTAGATTTTTATAAAACTTGAGAGAAAATTGTCAGATATTCATACATACAAGCACTTATGGATTGGGAATACTCAGTTTGAGACCCATAGGCTTCAAATCCCTGAAAGACACCCAATCATCAAACACTCTAAAATAGCTCTATAGGCTGGGCTAACAATCTGAATACAGGTTCACACATGTTTTGGAGGGAGGCTATTGCCAAGTGGTAGTGACACATGCCTTTAATCTGACACTCAGAAATGGGGATGGTTATACTGGCATTTGTGTTAAGGGTACAGTCATGGAAGCCATGTGCTTAGCTTTGGAAAATTGCCCCAGGATTCCCTAGCAGATTGAGAATGCAGCCAACAGGGTGTTGGCAGCCTCCAGCCTCAGGTTTCCTGATCATAGGAAAGTCACAAGGTTGGAGGCTGACTTAGCCATCTCATCCGGGAAACAGGAACCCCTCCGATCTGCCCTTGATGGGATACTGTTGCTGTGCTAGGCACCAGGGTGGGATGGCAGCTGACTTTGCTGCCATCAGCTGGCAGGTGCCAAGGATTCTGCATGTCTTGTGGCAGACACAGGTGTCCATACACAGTCTATGCTAACATCAGGAGCCTAAGAAGAGTGGGCAGAATGCAAGTGGTGACATGTAGCTAGAGTTTTCCTGCCTGGCCCACAGTCAGGACAAATCTCTCTCATCTGCCAGTCCCACAGCTGCTCAGACCTAAACAAGTAAACACAGAGACTTACATTGCTTACAAACTGTATGGCCGTGGCAGGCTTCTTGCTAACTGTTCTTACAGCTTAAATTAATTAATTTCTATAAATCTATACCTTGCCATGTGGCTCGTGGCTTACCGGCATCTTCACATGCTGTTTGTCATCGTGGCGGCTGGCAGTGTCTCTGACTCAGCCTTCCACTTCCCAGTTTTATTCTCCTCCTTGTCCCGCCTATACTTTCTGCCTGGTCACTGGCCAATCAGGGTTTTATTTATTGACCAATCAGCAACACACTTGACATACAGACCATCCCACAGCAGTGACACCCTGATCCTTGCTCCCTCATGCATCCCTGGCTTCAGGAGCATGTTCAGACCCACCTGGGCATCCAGGATGGCATTCTACTCCTGGTCTTTCTGCTGGAGCAGCAGCTGGTGCTGCATCTCCAGCACCTGTCCTGTAGCCTCTCCTCACAGCACATGACTGCCAAGTCCTTCTCATCCTTCTCCAGCAGAATCATGTTCTCTTCCATCTGTGGGTGCAAGACCAACTCAGGTGGGTTGGGGAGATGACAGAAGACACGCTGGTGCTCACGAAGTCCAGCTAAGCTACTCACACAGCAGGGTCAGCAGCATCTGTGACTCCATCATGTCCATGGTCTGCTGCAGATCCTGCAGGGCCCAGCTGTTCAGTTCTCAGTAAGCCATGTTCACCTGGCTCTTCCGGGTATGGCAGAACCCCCAACCTCTGTGTACTTTATAGGTTCAAATGGAAATAGTGTCAGAGGGGTTGGGGGTGGAGCCAGGTCTATACTTGCCTGGAAATTGTATGGGTATCCCCTACCCCACTCAGTATATGAACACACTCACCTGAGCAGGTCTCGTGGGCAGCACAGTCCTGGCCTCTGTCCTAGAGGAGGACTGGCTGCCTCTGACCTGAAGCCTTAGGTGCTGAGAGTCAGAACTACCCACTGCCCAATACCTCTGTACTTACCTGTGTCTTCTTGTAAAGGGTTCTCTTTCTCTGAGGGGTGGTAAAGGACTTGAAGTTGGCTTTCTTTGACATTATCTTGTCTAGCTGGGGAGCCTCCCTGAACATGCTTTTGTCTAAAATAGACCCATTTTATTTATTTAAAGAAGAGTCTTTCACTTGGTTTTTGGAGATGTAGTCTAGGTTGGCCTAAGACTCAATCTTCCTGCCCCAGCTTGGGGCTTCAGGCTTGTGCCACCATAAGTGACCAAGAACATAACAGGTGCCTCTTGACTCATGACTCAGATTGTCACAAGAGGAAGATGTCACCCTCAACCCCAGCACCCAGGCCATCATGCCCTTTATGACAGAAGCACTGCCTGGGACCTGTTCCTGCTGCTGTCACTCTGCCTGGGACCTGTACTTGCTACCTCCACCCTGCCTGGGACCTGCACCTGCTGATGCCACCTCATCTGAGACCCATACCTGCTGCTGTCCTCCCACCTGGGACCTGCACCTGCTGATGCCACCTCATCTGAGACCCACACCTGCTGCTGTCCTCCCACCTGGGACCTGCACCTGCTGATGCCACCTCATCTGAGACCCACACCTGCTGCTGTCATCCCACCTGAGACCCGCACCTGCTGTTGTCATCCCACCTGGGACCCACACCTGTTACCACCACCCTGCCTGGGACCCACACCTGCTGCTGTCATCCCTCCTGGGATCCACACCTGTTACCACCACCCAGCCTGGGACCTGTACTTGCTACTGTCACCCAGCCTGGGACCTGCACCTGCTGATGCCACCTCATCTGAGACCCACACCTGCTGCTGTCATCCCACCTGGGACCCACACCTGTTACCAACACCCAGTCTGTGACCTGTACTTGGTACAGTCACCCTGCCTGGGACCTGCCACCCCACCAGGCAGGAGGGAACTGGCCCACACTGTCAGTTGAGAACACACTGGGACCCACAATCCTAGGCCTGGTGTGTATGAAAGGCACAGATTCTTCTCACAGCAGTGAGTCAAACTGGCAACAAGGGCTTTCTAAGGCTGTGGACCATTCTTACAACCTCAGCTGCTGAAGGGCTAAAAGAAACCACTTACCATTGATGGCTGAAAGGTCTAGGTCAGGTGGAGCTGTGCCGTGCCCATCCAGCATGGTGGACCTCAGGTTTCCTCTTCCCATCATCACCCGGCTGTCTTCTGCCCAAAGAATGCCACTGTCAGTGCCATTGGGCCTGCACCTCTTGGTACAGTACTGCTTGGGGCCCCCAGGACTGTTTCTTCCAGGGTGTATGGGTGCTGGACTCTTGTGCCTGTGAGCCCCGTGGCTGAGGTGAGGGGCAGCTCCTCAATTCTCTTGTCCTTGTGCACAGACTTACAGAAGCATGAGCTCAATAAGCCTCTTTAAGTGTCTTGTTTTTAGGAAGTTATTTACTGTGGTGAGTGAGACTGTTGTGGGCTGAGGTCCTTCTAGGCTGGTCCTAAGGACTGAACTCAGGGCACCAGGCATGCAGCCAGTGCCTTTACTGGCTGAGCCATCTCACAGGGTGGGAGTTGGGTGGGAGGGGGGAATCTTTTTATTTCTTTAAGATCTATTTTTTTTTTGCCAGGTGGTGGGCACACACCTTTAATCCTAGCACTTGGGAGCCAGAGGCAGGCAGATCTCTATGACTTCAAGGCCAACCTGGTCTATGGAGCTAGTTTCAGAACAGCCAGGTGTCATGAAAAACAAGCAAGCAAGCAAACAAACAGAGACTTACCCTTCCATTTTTTCTAAGATTTTATTATTAGATATACAGAGTTCTGCCTGCATGTATCACTACAGGCCAAAAAGGGCACCAGATCTCATTATAGATGGTTGTGAGCTGCCATGTGGGTTCGACAAGTTGAACTCAGGTCCTCTGGAAGAGCAGCCAGTGCTCTTAATCTCTGAGCCATCTCTCCAGCCTTCTAAGAGCTGCTGAGCCTTCTCTCTAGCCCCAACAAATTCTTTCTCAGAAGAGCAAATTACTGCCAAGCATAATTTAGTGGCCCACACCTTTACTTTTAGAGGACTCAGGAGGCAAAGGCAGTTGGATCTCTATGGGTTACAGGACAGCCAGGGCCACACAGTGAGACTTGTCTCAAAAACAAACAACAAACCCTGTCAACTCCCCAGGCACAGGCATTCTAAACAGACTAAAGGAACCATGGGTGCCATTAGGCTTAGTGTTTCTTCTTTGTGGTGCTGAAGATGGAGCCCTGCTAGCAAGTCTTGGGATGATCATAACCCGTAAACCACAATAAGTAATTCCTAGATATAAAGATAAATCTGTTCAAAGTGGTGACCTATCAGAGAGGTAGAGAGGGGCTCTATTTTACTGCTTTTACAACCGTGCTATGCAAGGAAACAGTTAAGAAACTTCACAGTACCACAGGAGCTACTGACTTCTGGAGCTATGAAGTAAGTAGCTCCTGTGCTCAAGACCCAACCCAGCACTCAGGAATTCAGAGCTGCCCTCAGATGCAAGGCAACTTCTGGGCCAGTCTGGGCTACATGAGACCCTGTATCAAAACAACAACAAACAAACAAACCAAACAAACAAACAAAAAACAAAACAAAAGCCAAAAAGCACTGGGATGGGTTGGCTGGCTCAGCCCATAAAGGCCCTTCCTTGCCTGGTAAGCCTGATGATGGACTCAATCTGGGGAATGCACAGGAATCTGGAAGGAGAGAAGAACTCCACAGAGCTGTCCTCTGATGCCACATGTGCCAAGGTGCCAGGAACAACTACCTATGATGACAAATGAAATAAAATAAAAGTAGTTCCTCAGCTTTGATACTGCTGACCTCTGGGCTAGTCAGGGCCTATCCAGGGTTGCTGTGTGTACTAAGGGCTCAAACAGCAGCTGTAATTCCATCCACCAATGACAGAAATCCAAATAACATGTCTGCATACATCCCTAACCAGTCATCATCATTGTTAGATGAGCACTCTGTTTAATCCAGACAGGTCCTGGCCCCTGACTGGCCCAGCTTTAATCACAGCCCTCACTCAGTGACATGAGAAAATCCTAGCCAGACTCATGCGCTGCTCTCATCCCCACCTGGAGAATTTTTTGTTGCTTTTTTTTTTTTGAGGTAGGGTCTCATGTGGCCCAGACTGGATTAAATCTCCCCAGTGTGGCCAAGGATGACTTTGAACTCCTGATCTTCCTATCTCCAACTCCTAAGTGCCCAGATGTCAGGCACCCAGTGGGCTCTAATTTCTGCAGAGCCCCTAAACCAACAGAATGCAGTAGTCAATCCCCACCTGGTCCCTGGTTCTGCAAGTAGTTCCTTTGACATATGGCTGTGCCCTCAGACACACTGCCCCATGCTCCCATCACAAACACTTGAATCATATCCTTTCTGACAGAGACCCCTTGATGGTCAGTTTTCGTTGCCCACCTGACACAATCTAGGATCACCTGGGAAGTGAGGGGTTGTCTCGATCAGGCTGGACTGTGGGCATGTCTGTGAGAGGTTGTCTTGATTGCTCTGGGGGAGGCCTGGCAGCTCCTTCTTTGATGGCAGAATGCCAAGCGCCAAGCCCCAGCCAGGCCCTGCCTTTGGTCCTTGGCAATATGCTGGTCCTTCCTTCAGGTGGCTTTCCAGCAGCCAGTACAGAAACCTGTTATGGAACAGTCAGAGATCAAGCCACTTGACCTTTGATGTATTTGCTTAGAGGTCAGAGAGAGATGCAGGAGTCTTGAAACTGTGTATACAGGACAAGCAGGATTTGTTTAACAGTCACATTCATCAGACATGGGAAATTAATGGCACATCTGCTGGACTGCCTTCAACACCCAGCCATCTCAATGGGCCTGTGCTCCTGTGTGCTGTGGAGGTGCTGGCAGCTGACTTCCTATGGCATTCTCAAGATATGCTTGTTTTCTATACATATTGCTTTGGACTTAAGAGGACACCAAATTTCTACACTGGCATAAGTCTTCAAAGCTTACAAACAGCAACAGCACAACAAGCAACAGTGGATGCCTGGCTGCCAGTTATCCCAGGTAAAGCAAGAAGGAGCACGATGGGGGTGATGTGTGGTTCATGCCCTTCTCATTCACAACTGAATGAGACCCTCCCTAGGAAATAAACAGACAGCAGGGTGTGTACATGTAACGGTCTTATTAAATAAGAAACACAGAGCCAAATGCAGAGTTAAAAGCCCAAGAGGTCAGAGCAGTAACTAAGAGCTGAGACTGAAACCGTCTTCTTACCCATCGCTGCCCCTGCCATCCTTCCCCTGAGAAAGAGGACCTATTTCCTGTGTGTCTGTCTTTTTATTGATTTTCTGTTCTGCCTTTTCATTGGTTGTAAACCCAACCATGTGACCTTCTCGTCACTACCTGTCTGTACAGACCTCCAGGTCTTCTATGGTTGGTATTGAGATTAAAGGCATGTGTCTCCATGCTGGATGGTATCCCTGAACACACAGAGATCTGCCTGTCATGTGATTGGGATTAAGGGCGTGTGCTACCACTGCCAGACTTCTGCTATGGCTTGCTATTAGCTCTGACCCCCAGGCAACTTTATTTATTAACATACAAATAAAATCACATTTCAGCACAAATAAAATATCACCATAAGGGTGGAAGAGGAAAACTAAAACCTACTCCTTGCAGAAACTACCCAAGCAACCACAGAGCTCCCTGAGGTCTAGGAAAAGGTCTGTGTGAGGACTAAAGTCATGCCACCATGTTGGATCATGTTTTTCTTTTAAAAAAAAGAAGGAAAAAGAAGATTTACTTTATGTGTACAAGGTATTGCCTGCATGTGTGTATGTACACCATCATACTAACATTAGCTAGATCAGTGTTACATCAAATGCAGAAGACAAAAATAATTAAATCTCAATTATAACAGAGTTAATGGGGGGGCTGAAGAGATGGCTCAGTGGCTAAAAGCACTGGCTGCTCTTGCAGAAGACCCAGGTTCAGTTTCTGATGGCTCATGGCAGCCTGTAACTCCAGTTCCAGGGGCATTGCTGTGAACTTCATAGGCACCAAGCATGCACATGGTGCACAGACACACATCAGGCAAAACACTTGGACACATAAACTAAGTAAATAAAAATATGGGGCTAACAGATCTATAATTCAGTGATTTCTATCTCAGTGGCTTTGGTTATCACTTCTCTCTCCTGACAATTCAGCCCTAATGGCTTCTACGATATCACCTAGCTCCATAGGGCATGAACTGGTAGACACAGTAGGCCAAGGTTCCCAAAGCAATCTGCACCTCACTTTTACACCTTCAGCATGGTTGTCCCTAAGTGTGCAGAGTTGGAAGGGTACAGGTCCAAAGCCATAGTCAAATCTATTACTGTCCTCAGTATACAACATAAGGGATTTTTGTTTTTGTTTTTCTGAGACAGGTTTTCTCTGTGTAACAGCCTGGCTGTCCTGGAACTCGATCTGTAGTCCAGGCTGGCTTTGAACTCAGAGATCTGCCTGCCTCTGCCTCCTGAGTGCTTGGGGCTGTAACTCCATGGTAAGTATCTGCCCAATGCTGAGTTCCTGCATTCCATTCCCAGTGCTGAAGAGAAAACAAAAACAAAACCCAAAAACTCTAGTGCTGTGTACACGGAGTGTGCCATCATGCCAGTCTTGTGTCTTCTAAGAGTGGCAGACATTGCATTTAGGGCTTGTTCTAATTTCCTACAATATGTGCTCTACTCTCAGTTTCTGTCAAGATCCTCATCCCAAGTAACCAAGGCTCTCAGTGGGTGTGGATGCCAGCAAGCAGCCCAGACAACTTCCTGCCTGGCCAATGGTGCCCTCTATGCGGGCTTACATTGAGAGTTCTGGCTAGAAGTTTCAGACTCCTGCTTTGCTCCTAGGCTTGTGGCCTTTCAGCATCTTGGAATGTAGCCCTTCAGCAGTGTCTGGGCTTCTAGACACCCACAGTTCTCCTGGTGTTCCATGTTAGACTTTGGCTGGAGTCCAGTCAACCCATGATGCATTCCTGGGGCCACCTACACTGTTGTTATTTTCTTTATTATTTTCAGTGCTGGGAATGGAAGCCAGGGCCTTCTGCAAGTAGCCAAGTGCAGTAGCACTAAGCCAGGCTTGTAGCCCCCTTCTGGGGGATTCTAGGCAAGGACTCCACTGGCGAACCATACTGGCACCCAGCCACTCACTGTGAGGTTTTAGGCAGGGACTCCACCCATAAGGCACACTACCTCCACTTGGGAGAGGGAGTTCTGTGGTTGATATATTTGTACCTTAATAAACTTATCTGAGGGTCAGAGAACAGAACAGCCAACAGATTAGACATAGAGGCCAGAAAATGGTGGTACACACACCTCTAATCCTATCACTTGGGAGGCAGAGATCCTTGTGGGTCTCTGTGAGTTCAAGGCCACACTGGAAAACAGCCAGGCATGGTGACACACACCTTTAATCCCAGCACTTGAGATCTCATGTCTTGCTTGGGAAAGACACACGCCTTTAATCCCAGGAAGTGATGGCAGGAAACAGGAAGGTATATAAGGTGTGAGGACCAGGAACTAGAGCCTTTTCAGCTTTTAGGCCTTTAGCAGCAGCAGTTCAGCTGAGATCCATTCCGAGGACTCACAAGCTTCAGTCTGAAGATTCGTGGAAACAGGATCTGATCAGGAGTTGTCGAGGAAACAATTACTCTTTGTAAGAAATCACAGTAGAACGAAAATTTACAGTATCTACGTTTATTTCCTAGTGTGTTATTAAATGGAACTTTGTGTGTCATCATAACACAGTAGAAGCAGCGACGGTCAGATAACCGTTTGTGAGGATGACACGGCACGGTAAGAACTGTACTGCAGGGGCTGTCTACACCTACCATGAGAAGAAGAGGGACTCAGCGGCCTCAGGCTTTGGGACCCAGAACATCCGACTGAGCCGGGACGCCGTGAAGGACTTTGACTGCTGCTGTCTCTCACTGCAGCCCTGCCATGATCCTGTGGTCACCCCAGATGGCTACCTGTACGAACGGGAGGCGATCCTGGAGTACATCCTACACCAGAAGAAAGAGATTGCCCGGCAGATGAAGGCCTATGAGAAGCAGCGAGCAGCCCGGAGGGAAGAGCAGAAACAGCTTCAGCGAGCTGCAGCCCAGGACCAAGTTCGAGGCTTCCTGGAGAAGGAGGCAGCCATCGTGAGCCGGCCCCTCAACCCCTTCATGCCCAAAGCTGCCACCTTACCCAACACAGATGGTGAGCAGTCAGGGCCCAGGGCAGGTCCCCCAGGCAAGGACAAGAACAAAGCGCTGCCCAGCTTCTGGATTCCCTCACTGACGCCTGAGGCAAAGGCCACCAAGCTGGAAAAACCATCTCGCACTGTGACCTGCCCCATGTCTGGGAAGCCTCTACGCATGTCGGACCTGACTCCAGTGCGCTTCACGCAGCTGGGCGACTCTGGAGACCGCGTGGGACTCATCACACGCAGTGAGCGCTACGTGTGTGCTGTGACCCGAGACAGCCTGAGCAATGCCACACCATGTGCAGTGCTGCGGCCCTCTGGGGCTGTGGTCACCCTGGAGTGTGTAGAGAAACTGATCCGGAAGGACATGGTAGACCTGGTGAACGGGGATCCGCTGACAGAACGTGATATCATCTTGCTGCAGCGCGGCGGTACAGGCTTTTCAAGCTCAGGAGTGAAGCTGCAGGTAGAGCTGTCTCGGCCAGTGATGCAAGCCTGAGCTGTGACCTAATAAACCTGCCTGTGAATGGGAAAAAAAGAAATACATTTTAATGCCAGGTGGTTGGAGAGCATGCCTCTAATCTCAGCACTTGGGCGGACAGGCAGATCTCTGTGAGTTCAAGGCCAGCCTGGGCTACAGAGCGAGTTTCAGGAAAAGTAGAACTGTTGTTACACATAAGTTAAAGTTCATCAACACAGTAATGTTAAGAACCAGGAATGGAAGTAGTCATAAGAAGATCCTGGCTTCTTCTGGGCATTTGAGTTGTTCTTCTCCTCAGGAAGGGCCTCTTACAAAACCTAAAGATTTCATAAGAATCTATTGGATGAATCTTAGGACTCACCAGATTTTCATTGCCAAAGGGCAAATACTGGAATTATCTGGAAACATAAGCTCCAGAGAACAGCAAGGACCCCATTGATAAATGATTATCAGGAATAGAAGTGGCCAAGATGAGAAGGTTTTAATCTTTCATTTTATCTATCTATCTATCTATCTATCTATCTATCTATCTATCTGTCTGTCTGTCTGTCTGTCTGTCTGTCTATCTGTCTATCTATCTATATATCTGTCTGTCTATCTCGTTCTCTTTCTTTTTGTTTTAAGTCTAGCTACCCAGGCTGATCTCAAACTTAAGTACTTCTTTCTTCTATGTGTGCTACTGTGCTTGGCACAGAAGTTTCCATACCCTGAAGCGTGTCTGAAACCTGTTAAATAAATCTCCTCAAAAGTGAGTACTGACATAATTCAATTCACTCTGTCTACATATAACTAAATTTACCACCCCCCACCCCCCCACCCCCGTGCACCCCATGCTTACCTTGCACTGGTTGATTGGGCATTTCACATCTAAAAACATCTGAAATACAAAATGCTATGAAATCTTAAACTGTTGATCCCAAGCATTTCATATAAGGGACATTCAGGTTGCAATTAGCATGTAATTAACAATTAACAATGGCCGTCATTTGCTGTTAAAACTCTTAATGCTCTTCACAAGCACAAAGAAGGAAGGTGGCCAACTGTAACAATTCTCATCTCACCATCTGAAATGAAAGCTGGGAGGTTGAATGAATGTCTGAGAACAAGGCTAGCAAAGCCCTGGCTCTGGACACCCTGCCTTACCTCCAGGCTCTGAGTTCTGTGCCATCAATCACGCTGTGCTGCCTTCATAAGACCCAGTGACCTTGACCTCACCTTGAGTTCAAAGCATTTTTGTATACTTGCTCTAGTTAGCTCCTGGGCCTTAATGGATTCTTTGGAAAGATGCTGGATTTTTGTTTGGCCCCAGTTTCTGACTGTGCACCCTGCAAGTCTTCTGACAAAAACATTTGTTTTAGAGGCAAGTGTTAGTACTGCATTATAATCTCTGTAACTAGAGTCTGGTGCTCTTTTTCATGTTTAGACATAGGCAGCTAATAACAGAGCACAACTGAGTTAAATAAATTTAGAAGCATATTTGTTATTTTTTAATCTTAATACAAAGTTAACACAGATTTTGGGTTTATAAAATATAGAAATCAACATAATTTTTATTGACATACAGCTCCAGTAACACTTAAAATTCTGTGAGATAGGCATAACAATATTCTCCATCAATTTTAAATTAGATTTATTATTGCTATTATTATTTCTGTGCACTTGTGTGACATGCATATGCAGTACATGTATAGAGGTCAGAAACTAATGTAAGGGATTGGTACTCTGCCCCCCAAATGTGGGTCCCAAGGACTGAATTCAGATCATCAGGCTTGGTGGCGAGTGCCTAATTTACCAGCTGAACCATCTTGTCAGCTCCTCTATCAAGTCTGAAATTCAACAATAAGGCAGAAAAACTTTACTTGGAACTTAAATAAAATTGGGGAAAAGAGTTCTTCTTCAAGAAACTGTTTGAGGACTAGCAATGTTCATTGGGAAGAGGCATTTCCAAGCAGACCAGAGAATTTATGTTCAACCCTGAAATCCCACAAGGTAGCAGGATGGAACATGTTGTACCTTGAGTCCCCCAAGGGACCAAATTCTGCAAAATCTTTTTATTGCTGCCAGTTAACTTGGGCGTCTCCATCCATCTGATGCAGCAGAGCAGGAGAGACCCTGAGTAGCACTCAAGCAGGGTATTTCTAATGGTTAGGGTAGGAGATCTAGGAGAATTCCAACTCTATATCATTACAAGCTCAAGACTGGTGCTTACGTCAGGTTAGAGATGCTTGGTTTGAATTGATTGGAGAGTTGCAACTGAAAGGAAATGGCCCTATCCTCTAGCAATCTATGTTACTGTATCCATTTGACCAGCAGATCCATTTCCTCTGATGGTTAGGCATCCCATTTTTATCTGCAGGAAACTCATTCCCTATGACAGCTATGGTATACAATCTATAACAGCAGAAAACATCTCAGAGGACATATCTGGTGCTTTGTTTATTATGCCAGTTATGTTACAGCATATCCTTTCGGTTATGGCAGGAAATGCCTGGTGTGCATCTCCTAACTGTCTAGGGGTGAAGGGGCAGCAGATCATCTGGTGGGTTTTTAGGAACAACTTACCCAAGGGCCTGCTGTCCCCTGTCTGACCCTTCTCTAAGATGGCTACAGCCCTGGCATCCTCTCAGAAAGACTTCCAAAGAGTTGTCCTCTTAACTCCACACGCACACCTCTCCCTACCCCACACCCACAGACACATGCACTAAATTAAGTAATTGGTGAGGTGATGAATAAAAACGAAAGCGAGGTGATACTGAGTACCTCTCAGCAGGTCCTGCCAAGGTATGCCACTAGGCAACACACAGCACCAGCAACAGTTACTGCAAAGAGGTTCACTGGGGAATGGTGAGTGGAAGTGTGAAGGGCTGTGTGGGAGTGGGGACTTGAGAGGGACAGAATGACAAGAGGAAGAAGAGACGCAAGAGAGAAAAGACAAGAGAGGAGAAGCAAAGAGATGTGAAAAAGGCAGAGATGGAAAGGGAATGAGCTGTGCCTGGCGGGCATTTTTAAGGCTGCACGTGTGGCAGAGCTGAGGGTGGAAAGAACCCGATGACAAGTGATGACGTAACTGCTGTGGTGGCAGCAGCAGATGCAGGCTGCTGCGGCGTGACAGAAACTAACAATTGGGGTGTGTGTCAAACACTGCGTCCTGCCTCTGCCTCCCTCATGCTAGGACTAAAGACATGCACCACCACACCTCATGATATGGATTGTTTTTGATGTCTAAATAGGAGCTGATGAAAACATTTTCATATCTTTGTTCCTCAATCATCTTCATTGTTTCTAACTTGCACATGGTCCATATCATGGTAAAGTAACCACAGCTATATACCATAGGACCTTCTGACTACAAAATAGAGGGAGATAATAAAAGTGTCATAAATATGGGGAGTTGTTTTTGTTCTATTAAAATAAATTGCATAATGAGGAGCAAACAATGAATGAGAACTATGAAGTATATCCCATCAAACTCATTTTTTCCCCTGTGGTTCGACTCTATCTCTTTTGCTACAACCATTAAAATAGCTCCACACTACCACTTTAAGAATTTTGACAAGTATATACACGTTCACATTTTTTTATCGTTAATCTGCCTTAGCATTTTTGTTTCATTACTGCTCTAGGATATACCATTTGGGTAGGTTTTAGAATTTTTTTTAACGTAGGCAGCATATAAAAGCAGCAAACTTGCTGGATTCACTGTGGGCACAGTGAGTGCTTGCAGGGGTTTTCTCGGTGCAGCCTGCCCTGTGTGGATGCTGCTGCACGTGGAAGCTATTGCCCAGAAGGAAATGTGTTTGGTTTTCACAAGCCAAAGGTGCACTGAAGAACAGAGGACTGCTGTATCTGCAGAGCCAAGTCTTCCAGCTCTTGGTTCATGGACAGTAAACATTACAAAAAGGATTTTCAGAGCTCTTTTGGGTTGCACATGACATCTGCAGTGTCTGTGTGTTGCTTGTGGAAAGATGGAAGAAGTTGCCAGCTGATCCAGAAAAACAAAGCAAAACAAAAAACAAAAACAAAATAACAACAAAAAACCAACAAAACTGGAATCATGTGGTAGATGCAAGGGCAGGACCCAGTCTAAAGGCAACATTTAAAACAAAAAAAAAAGTGAGAACTCTATCTGGAAACAGGATGAAAAGCAATCACATGAGTAAACTGTGGAAGGAATTTAAACACCACAATCCTGATGCTCATAGCACCTCCAGTGCCTCTCCAGCCCAGTCTCTGCTTCAGTAACCAGTCAGATCAAGGCTCAGATACAGAGATGGCTTCCAGCTCTAAGAGGACTCCAGTTTTTCCTTTTTAGATATTACCTACTGGAAAAGACAGAAAATACATTGTGGGATCACCTCTAAGGGCAGTTTTGGCAGAGTTCTCATTGACACCCATCTCTTCAAGCCTTGCTGCAGCAGAAAGAAAGCAGCTGCTGTGAAGTCTGAGGAGGAGGGGCTGGCACCTCTGCCCATCTCCACTCAGGAGTAGTGACTGAGGTAAGTAGAAGGGAACAAAGATTGATTTCAACTTTGAAAAGACCACAAAGTAACAAACTGACCCTCCTATTTTTAACTTGGATACCTATTATTCTGCCAAAAGACATTTTATATAACAGTTTTAATGTGTTACCCATTCCCCATACAACAAACTCAGAAGCCAGTGTCTAGCTTACTGCAAGAAAAAAAAGTATACATAATATTTAAGATGCTGAGTATTTCATTGGAAAGCTGAATGGTGTTGTAAAGTACTATTTAAGTGTTTTTGCTTGTTTAATACCTCCAAATGAATGAAATTAGGGGATTTCAGGGGCCAGAGGTGCCATTATTCTATGATAAACCATATGTAGTTTAGTCTTTCTGTGGAAAGGTTGTGGTTGAGGCATTTAAAAATGTCTGGCTACACTTATTTTTCCTCATGATAATTTGTCATAATTCAGTAGCATGGCCTGCCTCTAGAGACAGCTAAAAATTTTGGAATGCTTCAGCATTACCAAACTTCTGATGATTCAGACCTGTACTACTGACTATTAAGCAGGGGAGACTGAGATTTCTCCAAATAGCTTGGAGGAGGAAGCAATTTCTGAACACACAGGTAGCATCGTGTCACCTCCCTTCATCTTAATATTTGATAAGAAGACTTTATGTGAATCTTCTAAAACAGAACCAGAGCTCCTTCGGGGGAAGGCAAGTCTGTAGGATGGGCAAGGTCCTATACAGATAGTATCAAAACATCACCATACAGTAGAGAACACGTGGTTAGAAACCACTTATTAGAATGTGGAAGTCCTGGGGATGCACGGAGCAT